CATATACTCAAGTTTCATTTTTTCATGCTTTTACGTTATTGTCGTGTTAAAGGAATAAACAACATAGAATAAATATTCTGTATAAATAATCAAAGAGTCGAAATTAAATCTTACTTCTGTTTTGTTTTTATTTTTAAATCATATGTTCAAGTTTATTTTAAATGATGTTGTTTTCTTTATATTTCGACACATTTTAAGGTTAAGGTTGTGTGAATATATACAACTAAAATAACCTATAAATGTTATTGGTTCTAAAATGGTGTATTTGCATTCCTTCGTAAGTAATTTTTTTTAGTGCAGTGAATATACAACGTAGAGTAATCATATTCGATCATACTTTTATAAAATCACCAGGGATTCAAGATGGTATGTAGGCTGCTGGATATATATTCTTTTCATTATAAGTACTGTAATTAATATGAACGCCAGGGGAATACCACAAAGGCGGGGAACTGTTCATAGGAATGACAGTGCGCGTAGGAGAGCAAGAGTAGATAATGACGAACTTAGGGGCGGTTTGGGAGCTCGAGCCCAGCTAGTACGCGCCTAGTGTTGGACGCGCCTAACTTTAGTCCCCGGACCAGAAACCAGGCTTGGGAGCTCGCGCCTAAGGCCCGGTTCACACGAACGACATACCTAGCAGACTAGGCTTGGACTAGGTAAGCACTAGTTAAGCACGTCTGGGTAGCGGACCACGGGATCACACCGGTTCACACGAGCGACATGTCTACGGACTAGGTGAAAATGTCGAGATCAAAACCACTCGGTTCCATCACTGGTGCACAATGAGAACAAAGGTAAGAATGCGAGCTGCAGCTCGACTACCCGATCGCTCGTGTGAACGCTCCCATAAGGCTACATGTACTGCTACGCAGTTCGACTGGGCGACTGGGTAGTTGCCACGACGGACTGGGAAGCGGGGCCCGACTAGGTTTTGGGACATCAAGCTCGAACACGACTAGCTAGTCGGCGTCCTAGGCTCGTGTGAACGGCTCCATTTGATCCTGTGGTCCGCTACCCAGTCGTGCTTACCTAGTGCTTACCTAGTCCAAGCCTAGTCTGCTAGGTTTGTCGTTCGTGTGAACCGGACCTAAGTTGAAATGGTCGTAGATCAAGTATAGTCGCGCCTAAGTTGCAGCGCGGCTAGATAAACAGGGAATCGCGGGGAATTCAGGTTTTGACGTTGGCAACGGCCATTGCAGAACCCGTTACCGTTGACAACAACAAAAGATGAACACTTATTGAAGATGGATACAATTTTATCTTGGTACTACTAGCTGTACCCGCGGGCTTTGCCCCGTTTAACTTTATAAGTATTCGCATGGCTCAGGCTTGATATAACCAGATCTGGGTTTATAGGGCCAGATTTGGAATTATATATGGACAGATCTGGCTTGATATAACCAGAAATTTCCCAGTATAATATAGGGGTATTGACAAAAAAAATAATAAAAAGTAATTGCGGAGGTTATGATTGTGTGAAGCCAAGGTAAATGTAAAAAAAATCTTTTAATACAGTACTTAGAAAAAATTGTTGTCAATTTAAAATCTTTTTTTACATGACACTCTTTTATCTAACTTTCCTAGGGAAGTATCTATTACCATAGGTAGCACTTAGTTCCGGGACAGATAAACCTTTCCATTTTGATGTCCCTAGAGGCCAAAAACACTGTTCGTTCCAAATTTTATATATGTATAGCCTATATATATATATATATATATATATATATATAAAAATGTATTATATATACGTCCATAAACGTGATAACTTGAGTAATTTTTGTCTGATTTTGATAAAATTTGGCATGAAAGTGTTAGGCGCGATTCTCCATAATGAGTTCGCGAACCAGCATGATCAGACCAAGGGAACCCGGAGTTTTATAGGATAAAAATAGTTTTTTCCTCAATTTTAACCCCTATAACATAAATCTTTGTCTTTAAAATATTTTAAAGAGTAATTTAAAGAGTAAAGAGTATTTTAAAGAGTATAAAAAACAAATTAATATCTTAAAATGTTTTGTACGGTTATTGGCTACAGAGACTATTGGTAAAATTGTAAATTTTAAATTCCCATGTGATTCTTATGGAGAAAAAGTTAACTGTTCTAGTGTGGTCGTTTATGGATATATTTTTATGAAACTTGGGCAAATTTATTTATTTTTTATAAAGCTGTTAATATTTTGTTAAAAAATACACTTTATTACCCTCCCTGTAGCAGCATACCTACACCGTAGGTAGTTTCAGGTGCTTGTTAAACCTAAAGTTATTTAAATAAATTTAATTGAAAGCTCTATTAGGTTATTTGGAAATTCGCTTAGTCTGCAGGTTTTCTGTGGCGGGTTATTGATATACTGTATATATTTTCTTATACTCCAAATAATCTAGGTACCGTACTCCATTTTGATGTAACTAGCACTTGGTCAATGACACTGAACTGAGCTCTATCACAACGCAATTAAAAGATAACGATTATGACTGTGAGCTATTTGCAGTTTTTTATGTTTTGTTTACTATCTCTTCACTCTTTCGTAGGGGGTGAGTGGGGGGTATGCATGTGGTTGCTAATTATTTCCTTACTAATAAAATATTTATAATTAAGTTACGGGGGCTTATTATAGCCAAACTCTCAGTTGAAAGAAATTCTATTTAGGGTCCATATTTGTATTGCAGTTAACAGTAAAAACAAAAACCAAATAATCTTTCGTTAAATTTAGCTTTCTGCAAGATTTTCGTTTTATTTTGAACAACAGAGAACTAAAAAAAAGTTTTATCAAATATACTTTGAGAGGAATGAAAATGTTCGGAATTTAATAACGAATTCCAATATAACATTCTTTTAGTTAATATGAAAACAATTAACTTGCTAATGAGCTAATACCGGCATGATGTCGACTTAGACCTGCCCCCTGGCAGGCCTAAAGTTGGGGACTAAACTCACTGATTTTTATGACGAAAACATATCTCTTAGTCCCGAAATTGGTCTCCCAAACCCACCGAGACTATCTCTTAGGCTGGCGCCTAAGTCTACTTGACTCCCAAACCAACAATTTAGGCACGAGATTATCCCTGCGCACAAGTTAGGCGCGCGCCTTACTGATCCCGAGCTCACAAACCCGTTTTCGAGGCGGCAGCCTAAAATACCGGAAATATCCGGATTTAGTCGCGGACTAGCGCTAATACCGAGCTCCCAAACCGCCCCTTAATCAAGATATGTTACAACCCCTTTTTAGGAGACCCATGGTAGACGAGAGAAATGTAAAGATCCATGATGCAGGATTATTGGACCAAGAGTGTAGAGTGCATTCAATGTAGTGCTCTTCATTTTAGAGAAGAACTAACGAATAATCATTTTATGACATGTTGCCATAACGGACTTATTAACCTTCCTCAGTCAAAAACTAATGTAGAACTTAAAAGTTTGTTTGAAGAGAGCCCACAACTGTATAAATTCATTCGACAATGCAACAGTGCGATGGCTTTTGCTTATTTTTCAGCCAGTAAGAAAGATATTCCAGGAAAAGGACCATACTGTTTCAAAATTCAAGGACAGATTTATCGTTCAATCTCAGATTTGCTGCCTCAACATGATGTGTATATGGCCAATTGTACATTATCGACACATCAACAGCAACAGAAATTCGTCAAAGGCGTCGAGAAAATAGTGACTTAAAACCTGAAATATTGTCAAAACTAGCTGAAACTCTATTAGAAAATCCATTTGCACAAATTTACAAAAGAGCTTCGGAAGAAATGGTTGTACAAGGTGACAGTGAATTAGAACTTAGGTTTGTAGACAGGTTAAATATGGATCGTCGTAGGTATAATAAGCCTACTGCAGATGAAATTGCAGGCGTCTTCAATTCATCTGAAGGCGAACCTCCAATGAATTTTTAAAATTCCAAACAGGGAAGCTTTTATTTATCCTCATTAACCACAAGACCAAAGCTACCTTAGTAAACCAGTATTTATTCACAAACAATGATATGTTTGCTGCCTTTTCATGTTAAACCACTGGAGTGATTCAAATTATTTATTGAAAATGACATCAACAAAAGCAAACAAAGAAGAACAACAAACTGGTTTTTACACAAAAGATATGGTGTAGGGATGCCTATTCTGACACATAGATAATGTTATTCTGAGTTTGTTTAAATACCGGTATTGCAAAAAGTTGTTTTACATTTGAGCTTTTTAGGGACTTATGTCCCTACAAGCCACTAGTTTATAATATTAGTAGGATTGATTAAATTTGAATTGAAGTGTTCTCATACATAGGGTTTCACGTTAGCTGCATGATAAATCGATACAAGATCATAACCTAGATGCTAGATACAAGAGATATAGGCCTAAGTAACAAAGTTATATACTTATCTAAACTAGCATATAGTTGTGTTACACATAACATCAAATGATGACATGTCTATGAAGCGTATAAGTAAGAATAATTTTTAAATTAAATAGGTTAAAACTGGTATCATTGATATGCATTGTTTGGGTACAATCATTTATTATATTTGTCCACTACATGTATTTAAAATACACTCTAGCTAGATGATAAGATACTATGAAGAAGGTAAATAATTAAATAAAAATAGTAAAATGTGAATTTTACAGATATTGGACAAAGAAAATATTTGTAAGCTTGATGTAGCATCAGTGCAGTGGTCAGTTAATTTTCAACTTTACTCTGCAAGTAAAAAAAAAATACTAGTTTTCTGTCATATTACAGAAAGGCCCCCTAAGGCCCCCTAAATAATAAATAGATCCCCTAAGGTATTTATTAATTTTCTTTGCAAATGGTACCTAAACCAAAATAAATTTTGAACAATACTATTCTGGGATATAGAATGAATTTCGCAAATGAATTTTATTTGATTGTTAAAAAAAACCTAAATCTACAACCCAACTGGTTATCAGAAGGTAAAGACGCATTTTTTGAATCTATTGATCAGGTAGTGGACAGGAGTTAATGCAATAACCACATAAGGCTTCAACTCCCACATCAGTATCCAACTGACATGGGACTCTTCAGTTATGGTGAGTTTGAAATTATATATTTTTTAAATTGTTTAATAAAAAAGAAAATAAGCTTCTGTTAGGTTGGATGAAATGTCCTTTTTACTTTCTCCCCCTATACCATAGTATATGGAAAAAGTGTTGTTTTTGTCAATATTTTTGAGTTTGATTTTTGAATGGGGAAAAATCAAACCCATAAAAAAACGGAAAAATCTGATTTTCTCAAAAATGGCCCGAACAATTTTGATTAAAATGTAGTGTGTTGTATCCCTTTAAATTCTGAACAAAATGGCATTGCTCCCATTTCTGTAAAAATCACAGCTCAAAAGTTATTGTAAATTATGTTATTTTCCCATAAAAACCCATAAAATAAGAGTAAATAGTATTTTCTAAAAAAAGACGGTTTTGATTGAAATTCACCTGTAATACTGGTGTGCTTGTCCTTATAATTCTAAACAAAATAGTGTAACCCCCATTCCTGTAAAAATTACGGCTAATAAGTTAATGCAACTTTTGTGATTTTACCTATTAAATATAATATCTCATTGCTTACCTATGATAAAGGTTGTTGACATTCTAATGCAAGAAAGTAAGTGTCAGATTGCTGATACCGTTTATTTGATAAATGCATAAATAAGTTCGTGATTTGTCATCAATTTTGTTTTTTTCGCTACCTACGCAATAAAATTTAATCTATAAAATATCATTTAGATAATTTATTTTTATTTCCAAACTACACTCTAAACATAAGCTGTAAGCAATTACTTTAAATGCCAGTATTTCAATAGTGAGAAGCTTCATACACTTTGACAGTCATGGTTATAAACACTATTTTGCTAGACTTAAAAAAAATTTATGTACTTTATTATTTTTCAGGAAATAATAAAATATAAAAATCCCTCCATTAATTGTTCAAAATTTACAAGATTAAAAAATATTCTTAAAGTTTTTTTTTTTTATCATGTAGAATGAATAAACGATACGGTACTAAATATAACAATAATTTGTTAAAGAAATCAGACAACCTTAATAATTTTTACTGATATTCTTATCAAGTTACAGCAAAATTATTTTCAATTTTAAATTATTTTAAAATTTAATGTTAGGTTCAGTAATATTTAAAAAGCTGTTTAAAAAAATGTTGAATTGGTACACTAAATTCTAAAACATATTTTTTTACATTGGCTCGTAATGTAATTAATTGTATGACAACCTTTCATGATAAATCATGAACTCTGCACAAACTCTGAAATTTTAAAAGCCTCTAGGAGGAAGGGCTTTCACTTTGATATCATCCAAACCGGCAAAATGCACATCTAGAGGACAAAGCTTTAAATTACCCAAAAAAGCATATAAAAATAATTAATTAAGGGTAGATTTGCTGAATATAAAAATCCAACAACTTTTTCTTTAAATATATATTCACAGAAATCGACTCCTGCATCAGACGTTTCCTTCTCTAAAACCATATTGTTCTTTATCTATTCAATTATTTTCCCCTAAGAATTTTGAAAGTTGTATATGCATAAATCGCTAAAACATTTTTGATAACGAGCATATTATTAGCATACTATAGCACCATTTCATGAGATAGGCCTCTGTAATTACACATTTTCTCTGGTTTATCATTTTTACTAGGATTACTTTAATATCAGTAAAAGCCATAGTTGAGCGAAGCGATCACCTTTCATGGTTTTTAATAAAGCACTAAATTAAAGCAATGGTTATAGATGATATACAACTATTTCATCAATTTAACTTATCAGTTTGTCTCATAACTATCAACATCTAAATATATTTTGACATATCTAAGCATATTTTACACTTGGCACTTTTCATTAAAAACAACCTTTATTTATTTGAAAACTGTAAAAAAACTCGTAGTTATGAAACTAGACACAAACAACTTTTGGAAATTCCAAGCCACAGATTTAGCTTTGTTTCACAATGGGCCCTATTATCAATGCATATACATGTCTACAACAAATTGTCCTTTTATTTCACAGACCAGTCTTTGAGCCTTAATAATTTTAAAAGAAACTTTCAGAAAAACTGATTGCACTTTGTCCTTATGACATGAATTCATTTTTATCCTGTCAACTGTAATCTTAATATTTGTATATATTTATCATGTGTAAACTATTTTTAATGCATGATTTGTATACTGACATGTCACATATTCATTGCTGATATTCAGCCTCAGTATTATGAATTTTTGTGATGAATAAATTGATTTGATTTGATTTGATCTATAACAAGTTTCATAAGTAAAGATGTGGACATTACATACAAAATACTGGTGAACTACAGTTCTCGTTGAACCCGACCAAACAACATTTTCTCAATCTTGGCCATATTTGGCAATTCAGGGAGAAATAATCTTGCATGTATGATTAGCAGATGTAATTTTTTAAAGACTTGCCTGCTTTCATAGAATTTCACATATAGTTTTACCATAGCTTATAAGGTCTGTTTTATTAAATGTTCTACATTCAACACGTTAAAAGCACTGTTTTCATTTCAAGCAAGTGTTCTACATTCAATTATCTCAAAACATTGCCAGAAGTAGTTGTTTGTGCGTTGTTCTTACCGTACATAGTAGACTAGATTTCCCAACACTGTTATGTACATAAAACGATGCTGGCGACCATAACCTCTTGAATTATTCTCCCAAGTGGAGATGTTTAGGGATAATCTAAGCAAAACTACGACGAAAAACGAATTTAAACTATAAAATAATCAAATGTATTTCTCATTAATGTTTTCATGACAAGGAGCAATATTGGACAACAAAACAGACAGCTGATAGTAAAAACAACATTCATATCATCTGTATGACTATTACAAATAAATAGAAAAGGCAGGCATTTTCAACACTTAGGCTTACTTACTTGGGCAATTATATACCCCAAGTCATTGCCAAAATGCTGATCAATACAACATGCCGATCAAGTGTGTTGCCAACAAGATAGTATCATAAAAAATATTTCAAATTTTACAATAGGTTGGGAAGTATAGAATGCATTATTTAAACTCAGTGGTAGTCCGCGCGTTTTGTTGATAATTATTTACATAAACTTAACAATATGCTTTGTTAGTTAAAACAACTTATGAAAATAGTTAGTGTAACTCTCATTTACACAAGATATACATTATATATCAAATACATGTGCCTATAGACTCTATTTTCAAGCTATTCCAGACTCTATATTCCACACTGGTAAATAAAACTTGATAGAAATTTCTTCCATTTGTTTTGATTTTCTGTTTATATTTCGTAGTTATTTCGTCACCAGCAAGGCAACCCATAAGGCCCATGTAATTGATATATTAATTTGAAACTGTTTTTCTTTGTCACAGCTATTTTGAGAGAACGGCTGGGCGTAGAAACTCAGTAGAGCTGTCTAAAGAAAGGTCTTGGTCTGTAGATGAGCCATCAAAAGAGAAAGATGGTGAATTCCCTTGGGCTCTGCCCCCGTGGCCTTAAAATTCCCATCCCATGTTATTCTTATGAAGGAAAACGGGGTTTTTGTCACAGATAATTTGAGAGAACGGCTGGGTGTAAAAACTTGGTAGGGGTCTCTAAAGAAAGGTCTTGGTCTGTAGATGAGCCATCAAAAGAGGAAAGAGGTAAATTCCCTTGGGGCTCTGCCCCAGAAGCCTTTGAAGTTGCCTCTTCAGATTTGTTTACATTACGACCATATGCATAATTCTACACTACTTTTTAATGCAACAGCTGTTAATATTTAAATTGTGATTTATTGAATTATTCAAAATGAAGTACAGTATTTGCAATGGATTTTTCTGATTTTAAAATTGATTTTCTTCTGCATCGTGTCATGTTTTGCAATAGCCTATAATGTTCTATTACAAATCAGTGGAAAATCCTAATATCACAGTAACTTTTAAAATTATTTCTTTGGAGTTAACTTATATCTATTGTATGGGTGGGTTTCTGCCTTTTTAGCGAATTTCCCATATAGGGAATAAGCTATTACCGTAGTACTCATGGTAAGACCTGGACGCGGGACCGATTTTTTTTTTCGTTTTGAGGTCCCTAGAGGCCAAAAACACCTTCCGTTCAAATTCATATATATATATATATTTATATATATATATATTTATATATATATATATATTTATATATATATATATATTTATATATATATATATATATGTGTCCGTCAGCACGATAACTCGAGCAAAAATGATCCGATTTTGATGAAATTTGGTACAAACAATAAAAAGTACGTTTATTCGAACGAGTTCGCGATCCAGCATGATCGGACCATGGGAACGGGGGTTTACGGGGGGGTTTTATGGGGTAAAAATAGGTTTTTCCCATTTTTGACCCAAAAAACATAAAATTTAGCAATTTCTTTCCAAACCATTTTGTAGAGCTTAAAAAAACAAATAATTTAGTATATTGAAGCGTTATTATGCGCCTAATGGTTACGGAGAAAATACCAAAAAATTGTACATTTAAAATTCCCATGTTATTCTTATGGAGAATAAGTAAACTGTTGTAGTTTGCTTGTTTGTGAACATATTTTGATCAAATTTGGAAAATGTTTTTATTTCTTACTAACTATTCACATTTTCAAAAAAAAAAAACAGTTTTACCCTCCTTGATGCAGCAAACCTAAGTACTTGTTAAACTAATTCTATTTAAATCAAGAATAAATGTTATATTTTTAAGTAGACATTTCAGTGTAAATCCAATCAGTCAAATGGAAATTCGCTTAGTCTGCAGGTTTGCTGCGGCGGGGGTATTTACCACTTCTTGGAGATTGTACGTAGGTGATATTCTTTGGCATATTGCACATGTAGACGAAACTTGGGTTGGTGTACTTATTACAATGGAAAAACCGAGAAATCTTGGACAATTTGATATAGGCTAAAAATAAAACTGATTTAACACTGTGCTACATTTCTTGAGCAATCATTGAAATAACCGATTTGCAAACAATGGAAACATAGAAAAAGTCATAGAACACAACCAAGTAAAAGAAATAGAAATAATTTTTTCCTACAGTTACCTAACAATGTACATGTTCTCTCACTGACTTGAGAAAGCAAAGTGGCCAATTCGCTCATCAGTGAGACAATGTTAACTTTGTCTCACTCTAATTACTTTGTCTCACTCCAGATTTGCAACGTGAAGGCACGAAATAGTGAGCGCGTAACATGCAGGCAACGTCATATGCGCGCTAAATGCGTTGGCAGCACTGTAAATCAGCTGGTCAGCTGTTGTACTGTTGTATTTGTCACTTCACATTAAATTTTATATTAAATGTTCACTTCTGTGTAAAAATAGGTTATGTTTCTTCACCAATTTATTTGTTTTAGGTAACTGTAGGAAAAGTATAATGTGCAACTCGAGTTCAAAGTACAATTGCCTCACTCGAGAAACCATTCCTCACTCGCCTACGGCTCGTGAGTAAGGATTTCTCTCGAGTGAGTCAATTGCTCACTTTTCTCACTAGTTGCACAAATAACTATTTTTTACACTTAAAAACACTAAAAAAACAAGATAAGCTTTTTGAAAAAAGATAAGATATTTACAACAGATTTTGATTATATCTAACTGTTGTGTAGATCGTGAGTATTTCCATAATCTTTGAGTTGCCTGTAATGCTTCGCATTACAATTTAAAATTTTAAAACACAGGTACACTAGTGTTTTAAAATTTTAAATTCATTTTTTGTGCTTATTACTTTTGAGCCCTCCCTTTAATTTATAAAGGGATTCTGTACATCTACAGGCAAATATCTTTCCAACAATGCGCAGATTTCCCCTGCAATATGCACACAAGCTGAGAAAAAAGGTTTTAAAGAAACATGCTTCCCTAAAACTGCTGATTCATGTAGTTGTTTTAATTCCCAATCACATCACATCCTTATACATATAATACGTGAAGGCAATTTCTATGAAACGCTACTCCTCCGTTAATAATGGACGGATTTTTACAAAACGATGTGTCAAAACGAACTATGGTTTGTTTAGATGCCCCCTTTCACCAATTCCTGTAATAAAAGTCCTCGGGCTTTGCCCCACAGGCCATCAAAATCCCAATGTATTTCTTATGAGTAAAAGATTTTGTTTACTTAAACAGACGAATAATTTGTATAAATTACAGCTGTTCATAGTAAACACATATGAGACACACAAGAGCATTCGTTTTCAGTTTTGATAACTGGAGTGGAGTGATTGATTACATTGTCTTTGAGTTTACTCTTTGAAGTCATCGGAAATTATGACTGTTATTCATTTTGAAATAACGCCCGTAATACTTTGCAATTGATCGAATTCGAGCAACAGGTGTACTAGTAAGATAAAATATTATTTGTTACTAGCAGAGCACCCGTCCTTTGTACGGGGTTGGCGTATAAGTATAAAATGCTTATTGCAGTTATACTTGTGCTTAGCGTTTGCAATGAAAGAGGACACGTTTGAAGAACATTTGGTTTACGGTAGGCCTATATATTAATTTATGGTATACTAGTATAGCACATCTCTACCATAGCTATAATGTTCTACCACTGCACCTAAGCAACAGAAATAAGTAAAGTTCTCACAGCTTTCTTCTTGGTTCAAATTACCTGTTGTCATAAATGAAAAAATAATTAACAGTGCTGCACCTTGTTGGTAAATCGTATAACTACTTAATGCTATTGAATATCATAGAACCAACTTGTGTAGTTGAAACAGCTTGTCAAAATTCTTTAATTCCATTTAAATATGAATACTCATGGTTAACATGGGAAACTCTAAAGCCTCTCTGGGGCGGAGCCCGAAAGGATTTTTCACATAAGAATAGTATGTCTAAATGTTAATCGGGAATGTGAGCTATCATCATACCAAATTTCAACCCAATCCACTGAACTTCAAATAAACAAACACACAAATTTTCACATTTATAATATTAGTATGATGATATGATAACCTAATTTAGATTACCAGGGGTCCGAGCATTGCTCGGGGTGTTTAATTTGTTCAAGAGATTAAAAAATTAAATATAGGCTTACAAATGTACGATTTCCATGATAGTATAAAATACAGTCAAAGATATGAAATATAGTGATGTGGGCCGGGTAAATACCCAGTGGGTAGGTAAATTTAAATTGGGTATTTACCCCAGGCCCGGGTAAATACCCAAAAACTGGGCATTTATAATTTTTATTAAAGTTAGAGAAGATTGAGAAGTTTTTTTGGAATTATTACCCTGTAAGGATAGTAAAATGATGATAAAATGTGTTTAACAAAATTTCATATGGTCACTACTAGCATTTTACTTCTGGGTATAATCGCCATAAATACCCAGGTCTGAGCATAAAGCATAATCAGCATAAATACCCTGGTCGCATGGTTGCACTGGTCCTGACTACTTATGATTTTTTATTTTCTATGATAGATAGATGAATTTATTTTATTGAAAGTGAAGAAAAATAATTTGCAAAGTAATAATTATTATTTAGAAAAACAGGAAAATTTAACCTAGTAGTGGCCTATGTTTAAACAACTTAAGAAAATAATTAAAATTCAATCTGTAGGATGGCAGGTTTTAATAATAGGTATTTTTGTTCTAGATCTTTTGTTGGTATCAGTGGTATCAAAATAAAAAAAACTAATTTCATAAACTTGTGATACAAACCATTTGATTCTATAGCACAATAAATCATTCAAAAAGGAGATACATTTTTTTAGTATGTTTATCCAAATATATTATTGTTTCCTACTAAGTGGTAACACAGAAAAGTTTAATTAGGTACTTTTAGTATTCTGCCATTCTGCCTATGTCAATCAGGCCTTAGGTCTGTCTAGCCTTCCAAGCCATTTATACAATAAAAATTTTAACTATCATAATTTAATAACAGTAAAAGTAGGTTTAGGTTCACTATTTCTCTGATGAGGTGTTGTCTTGATTTCATTTCATAGGGAGTGTTTAGTTTCTATCATTCTCAATGATAAAAATTGAAATAGCCACAGCCTTTTTTAATATACAATTTTTAGTAAGTTAAATTTAACTGATGTTACTCGATTTAAGACACGAAACCCCATGCTTATTTAGAAACTTTATGTGTTATAAAAAAGTGCTAAATCATAAAATAAAAGGTACTAGCAAAGCTTCAAGTTATCTAATACTCCAAATTTAAATCATATATTTCTATATACATTACATTTCCTACTGTCATCACTTTTAATATGAATGAATAAATGAGAGCCAGAAGATATTATAGTCATCTCATCTTTGCTCTCTGTTGTTTGCCAGCTGTGGCGGCATGGTTAGTGAGCCATGCTGTAGCAGGCCCAGTGAGACAGGATGATATATGTGGAGTCACCAATGGTCGCAGGCTCTACCTGGAGCAGGGGGAGAGGGGGGTGTTGACTGCCAGAAACATCTCTACCAGCCTTCGTCATCAACAGGTAACAGGACCATCTGTAGACCACTCTGAGCTACTGTCAAAAGCCTATTGCCTCGATCCTTAGTTACTCTGATGATTGGTGTAAGTTGACCGTTCAGTTTGGCTTGGTTAAAAAAATTCATGTAATGAACAGAAATTAAATAAGTAATAGAAAACAGCACACACTCTCAGTGTGTGAATCCAACAGCATTTATTTTTAGCCTATATTGAAAAAGTTATAGTTAGGATCCTGTGAAAAGTAAAATCTTTTTGATGGTTTAAAACCGGACCCGGCTGTCCTTAATCATTGGGATTTTTGATCTTGGCTAAAGAAGAACCATCTGATCTTAGTAATAAAGGTATCATCTCTTTTTCCCTATAGGGAAGTAGGTAGCTATTACTGTAGGTCTCATGGTAAGACTTGAGCCCGGGACTGACTTACTTTTTCATTTTGATGTCCCTAAAAGGCCAGAAACACTATTCGTTCAAATTTGTATACAGGGTGTCCATAAAAAACGTTTCAGGACTTTGGGAAATGAATACTAAAAGGAAGAAAAAAGTTTATGTGAAGGTATGTCCAAAAATGCATATTTACCCAGTTATCCGCCATTTTGTTTTTTATACCAAAATATTTTTAACTGTGAAGTTTTTCATTCAATGATTATGAAATTTGGTAACCATGTTAACATAGACAAAACCTATAATAGAAAAATAATAAAGTTGTTCCGATTGTAAATTTCAAAATGGCGGCTGTTTGAATTTTTCTAACGTAAATAACTCAAAAACGGCTAGTTGTATGAAAAAATGTCAAGAATACTTTCTTTTAGTGTAGAATACGTTTTTTGTGTAGAAATAAGGCAAAGGTAGTCAGAGAACCCTTAATTTTGCCTTATTTTTATTTTTATTCATATCTCAGTTATCTTTTGTCCGATCCTGTTGATCTTGGTATCTTTTGATAATGAATTAAAAATGCTAAAATAAAGTATTCCTGACATGTTTTCATACAATTAGCCGTTTTTGAGTTATTTGAGTTAGAGAAATTGAAACAGCCGCCATTTTGAAATTTACAATCGGAACAACTTTATTATTTTTTCTATTATAGGTCTTGTTTATGTTAACATGGTTACCAAATTTCCTAATCATCGAATGAAAAACTTCACAGTTAAAAATATTTTGGTATAAATAACAAAACGGCGGATAACTGGGTAAATATGCATTTTTAGACATCAGGGCATATTTTAAGGAATTTTCACTGGGCCACATTTCCCGGGGGTCTGGGGGCTATGGAATCCCCCCCAGAAAATTTTTTAGTTATGTTAGTTTTTAGTGTTATGTTAGTGATATGAAAACCGCACATTTTTACGCATCTTTTGATGATTTTTCCTATTATATTTGCTTTATAAAAGTCCATATAATTTCACTTAATCACGTGTTTTACAATGACTTAACAGGCCAAGGCTCTCTTCACAACCTCTTGGGCAAAAATCATTGCTCAATTTCAAAAGTGTACTACTACAAACATTAAACAATTTGTAAACACAAACATGTTTAAAATATCTACGTAAACCTAAAACAAAACTACAATATAAATTTCCATTTTTTATTTTTAGACAGGGAAAAATCATAATCGTAATTATTAATTGTTACGGATTTATGTATAAGTAGCCTATGATACAAAATTATCTGTAATGATAATTATGATTATGATTTTTTACCAGTCATAAAATAAAAAGCGTAAATCTTTTAACGTATATTTCCTCAATTTACAATTTTCGCATAAAAAAAACATTTAACAGTAATTTTCTACTTTCATTAGTGAGATTTAAAAAAAATCCAATTCTTTTATAAATGTTTTATTGCACACAACAAACAATCGTCAGGAAATACTTTGAAAATAACACAAAGATTTAAAGAGTAATAAAATTACTAAGATTTCATCAATACTTTTTACAAAGAAATAAGTAGCTTTCTGATTAAAAGAATTGAAGAAGAACATTGAATTTAAAGGTTACTGTTTAAAGGTTACTGTACTGAATTTAAAGGTTACTTTACTAGTCACACCGATGATGCAGCTCATTCAGAGTAGCCTAAAAAGTAAACATAAACAAGCCGAGGTCTGTGTCAGCAGTTGAGGGAGGAAGGGAGGGGGGAATCAAGTAGTGACCATGGTAGTGACATGAAAATCAGTACAGACCGCATCGCTATCTTATCTTATCTGCTTCCCCTCCCCCTCCACAGCACACATGCACTCGTCCATCCTTTGTCAGCCTGCCAACCAGTCTTTCTCTCTCTCTCTCTCTCTCTCTCTCTCTCTCTCTCTCCCCCCCTCTCTCTCTCTCTCTCTGGCTTGTTTAAAATCAGAAAAAGCGTGGCAGTTTCATGTTAATCACTTGTTTACTTAACGGAAGAAGTTGAGAACACTCTAAAATATTTACACAATGTTATTTTTTTTACTTTTATAATCCCGATACATGTGAGTCATTAAAAAAATATGCCCGCACTACCCATAATGCTATGGGCGACAAAATATCGGCACTGGGCGACACAAGTGTCGCCCAGTTAGCATGTTATTTTATGCCCTGTTGGACATACCTTCACATAAACTTTTTTCTTCCTTTTAGTATGAGGATTCATTTCCCAAAGTCCTGAAACGTTTTTTATGGACACCCTGTATATGTATACATAGAGGTATAAACTTGAACGAACTTGGCGGGATAAACTTGAATGAGTTCGTGAACCGAACCAGCATGATCGGATGATGGGAACGGGGTTTTACGGGGGTTTTTTTGGGGTAAAAATTTGTTTTACTAATTTTTGACCATGAAAACACAAAATTTTCCAATTTCTCTCTAGACCATTTTAAAGAGCGTAAATAGACAAATAATTTAGTACTTTGAAGTGTTTTTGTGTGGTTATTGGTTACGGAGAAAATAAAAAAAATTGTAAATTTAAAATTTCCATGTTATCCTTAAGGAAAGTATTGTAAAATGTTGAAGTTTGCTTGTTTAAGGATATATTTTTATCAAACTTGGTAAATTTATTTATTTTATACTAAGCTATTAACATTTTAATAAAAATAAACAAACTTTATTAGCCTCCCTGTAGCAGCAAACCTAGGTACTTGTTTAACCTAATCTTATTTAAATAGATTTAATTGAAAATTCAATCAGGTAAATGGCAATTCGCTTAGTCTCCAGGTTTGCTGCGGTGGGGGTATCCTAAACTCAACCTTCATTAAGTAATATTTTCCTTAAGTAATATGCAACTATTACTGGTATGTTGGCATCCCTAGGAGCACAAATATTTATTATATAGGTACATATGAATAAATATATTTAAAATCTATTTTATACATCTCAAGTGTGTATTAATGTCAATTTTATATACTGTAATATTTAAAATATATTAAATATATAAAAAATATGTTTTTGAATTTATTAAATAATAAAAAAAATATGTTCCAATAACATATTTTAGTGAATAATATTTAAATAAAAAAAGTACCTGGGGACCAAGCTTTGCTCGGGGAAAATCATTAGTTTACTCTGAAAACATTTTACTATTGCAGATACATTAATCCACTCCCAAACTACACAGTGCTCACCTTCACTATTTCCTTCACCACTCCCTACATCGTGAACCTGTTTGCCCTCCTTCCCTATACCATTTTAGAATTGCAGATACATAAATGCCTAGACAGTTCCCACACTTTGGACTGCTAGCCTTACTACTTCCTTCACCATTTCCTACGTCATGGACCAGTTTTCCTCCCTTCTCATAGCATTTTAGGATTGTAGATACCTTAATATAATCCCCATTAACAGTTCCCACACTCCGGACAGCTCGCCTTTACTACTTCCTTCACCACTTCCTACGTCGCGGACCTGATTCCCTCCCTTCCCATAGCATTTTAGGATTGTAGATACCTTAATCTAATCTTCATTAACAGTTTCCGCACTCCGGACGGCTCGCCTTTACTACTTCCTTCACCACTTCCTACGTCGTGGACTTGTTTCCCTCCCTTCCCATAGCATTTTAGGATTGTAGATACCTTAATCTAATCGCCATAAACAGTTACAAGTAGAAAAGCAAGTTGAAGCAAGTTGTTGTTATGAATAGTGCTCCTATTTTAAATCTAATTTTTCAGCAAGATTTGGACTAAATGATATAGCTAGTGAGTTTATATTGTACTTTTAAAACACCTAAATGTAATAAACAAATAAGTTCTTATATTACCTAAAAGAATAAAACATTTTACAATATAAGACTTTTTACTTACAAGACTTTGCTTGGAATAGGGATAGTTTTTCTATAGATTGATGATGAAAAATCAAAAGAAAAAGTTCATTGGTATTTAATGTAACATCATTTAATTTTTTTCAAACTGCACTTCTTTCAGTAAAATCTCGATTAAAGTGTTAAAATACCCAAAATAAGAAGATCTATTTATGTGAAAAATAACATCACCACTCCTAACCACATATCACTACGCTCAGGTGGACAAGGATTTTCAGGAAATAATTCTGAATTCTGACTTCTAACTGTGACGTCACCTTGCAGAGTTTCATTCAACTTCACTACCTGGAGTTTGACCCCAGCCACGTGATAAGAGACAGCAATTCAGCTGTGTTCCTCTAATATGTTCCATTGAGAATATTATTATCCTTATATTGGGAGATTTAAATAATTTTCTCCAGAAAAAAAATATATTTGTTAAAATTACAGTAAAAATAGTTTCTATCTATATATATATATATTTATTTGCTTTAAATAAATTAACAATTTATTGATAGAATACAAGATTTTCTACAATAATTTGCTATTTAAAGGATCTATTCAATAGAAACTTGATATTAGTTTTACCATTTATTGTTAAAATGGTAAATTATGCTGAATCTAAAGTGAGTGAAAACTGTTTACCTCGTGGCTGGCTGAGAGAAGAAAAAATTCGAAAGAATGGTCTCAGTAAAGGGAAAACTGATATCTACATTAAGTCCCCTGGAGGTAAAGTTTTTCGCTCAA